TTCTGGCAGTCTGCAAAGGCCCTTGGTCTCCTTCCTCAGATGCATGGACAACAGCACAACAAAAAATAGTGTGCAAAGACCTTAAATGTTTGGTAAGAGGAAGGGATACTTCACACCTCCAATTTGAATAGTTCCTATTTTCCATTTTTTTTTCTCATGAAATATCTTTGGTTAATGAAGAAAAAAGCTTCAGAACCTGGATAACCCTGTGAATCTATGCTTGAATGAGCAGGTCATAAGAAATTTTATATATATTGTAGGGTGAGGATAGGGAGGAGATACAGATACTCTGCCTTTTGTCATCAGAAATGTATTTATTAATAATGACACTGAAGTAGGAAACAGTCATAAGATAATTGTCATTAGCTGCACTAAGTGCCAAGAGTTATGTCAGAGATGCTCTACAATTAGTCTGGATGCATTGCACTATGAAGTTATGATTTATCCATTTGGTATGAGGAATACTGCCATTGTTTTGTCTTTGTAGTGGGGAAGAAGAGCAGAGAGATATTTAAGTAACTGTCATGCCATTTGCCCCAGATGATCTATCGAATTCCCCAAAGAACTGCATATAAATCTAACAGCTAATAAATGATTATTACAGAACATTAGTTAACAGTCTTGCATTTACTGCCAGGTGAAAATGCTGTCAGAGACTACATATGTGTAACTACCCATGCTACCCATTAAGATTTCCTTTTATTTTGCAATTTGCAATGTGAGGACACTTTGGTCTCCCCCCGCCATCAGATATCAGAGCACCATTGAACGATGTGCTAAAACCACCATGTGGAATGTTGTTTTTGGCTGAATGGCAGTAAATTAGCTGAAGTGAAATCTAGAACATGTCAAAAAAGGGCAGCTGATGACATACACTGAGGGGGAAATGTTCACTCAGGAGTGGCCAGTGGATCTATCATTCTATGGGCAGTAAGTCCACTGATGATGTTACAGATGCTCCTCCCACAGCTTTTTCAACTGAAATGCTAGCCTGCCAGCTCTAACTCTAAGCTTGGTTCTAGTAGAGTTCCTGTAAAATTCTGAGTAGCTGCAGGAGTGATAGTAAAATCAGCAGTAGTCTCAATACCTCCACCATGGTAGATCCACTGGGTACACCCATATTAACTTACTTAAATAGAGTCACATCAATGAATGGGAAAATATGTCTTTTCACTTTCTCCCACATTCAGGGGTTTTAAACTTCAGCTTCTTTCTACCCTGAACATTAATTACCTTATAAATTCTTCCAAACAAATTGAAATGACAATTTCCAGGTATAAAGCCCAGAGAAGCAAGTGGGGTTCAGGAAAGAAAGAGGCACTAGGGACCACATTGTGCACATACTTTGGAATGCACAAAAGACTTCCAGAAGAAAATCAGCATGTGCTTTATAGACTACAGCAAAGCATTTGACTGTATAGATCATGAAAAGCTATGGAATGCTTTCAAAGTAATGGGAGTGCCATGACATTTGATAATCCTAATGAGAAATCTGCACTTAGAACAAGAGGCTACTGTTTGAACATAATATGGTGAAACAGAATGGTTCCAATTGGCAAAGAGGTCAAGCAAGGCTTCATATTATCAACCTACTTGTTCAACTTGTATGCAGAAAATATACAAGGAACAAGTTTGGGCTCAGAAGAAGGTGTGAAGATAAAAGGAAGGAATATCAACAGTGTTGGACTTTGGATAAAGAAATCAGAAGAAGAATGGGGGCAGCTATGAAATAACCTAAAGATTAAAGATATACAACTGAGTGCTAAAGTTAGAATTGTCCAAGTCATTGTATTCACCATTTACACATGTGAGAGCAGGACATAACAAAAGCA